CAACATTGCACTTCCTGTGCCCTTTGTGACTTTTTCCCACTGATCCACTGAAGAGGTGAGCTATTTATTAACCACTTGCTCCATACATTAAGCACAGGGGTCAAGGCCACTGGACGAAACTCACTAAAGGCTTTGGAACCTGGCCTGTTGAGAAGTGTCTTAATTATTTCTTAATTACACTAGTCTTCCGTATTCTAGGAACTATACAAGTATTTAATAAAAACCGAAACAGTTTGATCAAGATCCTAAGTTCCCCTTCAACTGTGCTTAACAAGCTTTCAAAATGCCTTATATGGCTCAATCATAGACAAACATTTGCCAACCATTTCCTCAGACAGATGAATTGTAGTGCTCTGGGCTACATCAGCCATCACAGTCCATTGTCCTTTCTTTAAAATCTGCAGTATCAAAACAAGTATAAAATTATTGAAATTATTGGCAAAGGACAGACAGTCAACTGGACAGTGGTACATTTGGCCCTTCCCATCATCCCGTTCAGACCCTTAACATTAATCCCTTGTAATCTTGTCTACTGTGCAGCCAAAATGACTTGATTGCTTCTTTTTCCTTTCCCCAACGTAGTTTTAAAATCTCTTGACATGGATGATCCTCATTATGGGTATTTAAATTAAACCAGTATGTAGAACATATTCTCAGCTGAAGTGGTTTTTCTTGGTGTTGGAGTTGTTCTTATGGCACCTATAAATAATCTTAATGTTGATACTCTATGTTTTATAGTTTTTTGAGTAATGAAACTTGTGCTGAACCAAATGCTGTACTGCCATAATCAAATACTGACCTTATTAAAATACTCTCTCCCAACCAGACACCTCATAACATTTAAAACTCTTTTACATTTATAAATTATTTTTGGAATATGTACTTTCCAGGTCAATTTTCCATACAACCATATTCCCAAAAACGTAAATTGTTTTAACCTTTTCAAGTCATGAGTGTAAATTTGCAGGTTCAGATTTCCAGAAACGTTTTTCCTTGTTAAAAAATGTGCTTTTGTTTTATCCAAATTCAAAGGACCAATCCTCTATCTTATTAAATTCTTCTTTTATCTTTTTAAAAGCAAACGTTACATTTTACCCCTCTTCCAGATTATGCCATCATCAGAAAAGCCCAATCCATTCTCCAAATGTTCAAACTTATCAGTAATAATGATAGATCAGAATGTGGACTCTCTATACTTTCCTGGGAGAAACCATTCTCAGAAAACAAAACAAATCCCTGAAACACTTTGTGCTGTTCTTACTTGTATTCACCGATCATGTAAAAAAATATATAAAAAAAACATTGAACTATTAATTCCTATCTCCTTTAATTTTATTAAAAACATTCCGCGATATATCATAAGCTTTCTCCATGTCAAAAAAGGCAGCCACCGCACTCTCCTTCCAAACATAAAGCGGTGCATAGTATTTGTCAGGATGCTTCCCGGGCGAAACGCGCTTTTCTGTGTAGACTTATCGCGGGAGGCTCGTCTGATCCTTTTGCAGCCACAGTTTGTGGCCGCTGGGGGCAGCAGCTTCTGAGACGCAAGCGTAGAGGAAGTCGATGTTTACGCGTCGTTGTAAACTACCGGGTCGGTGTTAGCGCCAGCAGTCAGGTAAACCACTGACAGGGTGAAATGTTTTTTGAGAATGATCCCCGGCAGTTCTCTTACCGCTGCTCTGCAGCGCAACAGCACTTAGCATTAGCGTGCTAGCTGGCTGGACAGGAGCCGGGACTGCGCAGAATCAGTAACCCGGGAGATCCGCGCAGCGCTGTGCCAGAAAGTAATTTTCGATGTTTCTTTGTGTTTCCAACGTACAGTACATTTACTTCTATTGTTAGATAGGCTGTGAAGAACAGGGTTTGCAAAAAGGTTATATAAAGTAAGTCAGAGCTATACCGGTTACGGTTACAGTTTCTGTTGTCCTCTCTTTACCCGAATAAGTGAAGGATGTATAGCAGTCACTTTGTCAGCCACTGATTGCAATGTTTAACTTGAGTACTGAAGGCGAGAAGGACATGTCCTGGTCAAACGTGACTCCATGATTCCTCACAGTGTTACTGCAGGAAATGCTCTCCAGAGGAAGAATCTGGTTTGATATTCCCAAGATTTTTAGGGCCGAGTACAATAATCTCCGTTTGATCTGAACTTGGAAGCAGAAAGTTAGAGGTCATCCAGTTCTTTGAGACATTCCTGTTTTTAAACTAATTGATGGGTGGTGTCTCTGTTCACTGACAGAGCTGGGAATGATGCTAATGATGGCAGTATGAAGGAAGCCTATATGATGTAAACAGAAGCACTTGCATGAAATGTGTGTTATTGGTTGAATGAGGCTTGCAGCAGAAAGCGCTTTGAGTGCTCACTTAAGTATAAAGGTCAGTGTATTATTATGGCCTACGCTCACTCTACAGTATTAGTGGCATGACTTAAATATTGTTATTAATAATTATCGCCATGTCGAGGGTGTTGCATGCTGAATTTGACATCACATCCTGTGTCACGTCGTGCACCTCTCACCCCCTCTTTTGTAGTGTGCTGTGGCTGCCACAGCTGGATTTCAGACACGAGTGTACAATCGTAGGTTTTTTACCACCGTTGTAATGATGTATTCCAGTAAAGAAGCTCAGAGACATTGAAACAGTTTGAAAACTTGGAGAGTTTGTGGAAAACACAAAGTATTGGCATCCAGTTTTGACTTGTCCACAATCTGTACATCCTTATTGTCATTGTAACAGGAGTCCCTGCAGCGTCAAGAGAACAAGTTTAAATATAATTACAAAACAATAGCATGAAATGCTTTTTTTGATTTTGCAATGTTCTTTGAGGAACAACAGTTGAACCATGTTGGCCTTATGATGGTTATTTATAGCACAGCTCTGTTCCTTTCTCCCTCATCAGGTTCTCGTCAGAGTGTTGGTGTCAAGATGTGTGATCAGAAGCATGTCAGACAGCACGGTGATATGATAAACAGTGACCATGGCGACCAGCTGTCAGCCAGTGATGAATCTGAGCCTGAACAACAACCCAGCAGAGCTCCATTTGACCCAGACCTAGACCACAGTGATGATGATGATGATGATGATGATGATGTGTGTGCACCAGCAGCTATTCCCATATCTCAGAGTTCATTCAGTCTGAGTGGAGGGACCTCAGCCTTCTCTGACCGCAGCCACAGTATCTTTGACTGCCTAGACAGTATTGGCAGGCAGACTTTCTCCTCTCTAAATCAGAACACTGTTGCAGACGAATCCTCACTTCACAGTCAAAACACAAGCCATCCATCATCCATCTGTCCCACACCACCAAAGAAGAGATTAGTCCCAGACTACCTAGTGCATCCTGAACGCTGGACACATTACAGTCTGGAGGATGTGAATGAGAGCAGCGATCAGGAAAATAGCAGGGTGGCTTATCAGTTCCTGTCCAGCCTGGGGCAAGAGGCAAGAGGCAGTTCCCCTTGTGACCTCCAGCACAAGATGATCTTCAGACCCAAGCAACTGCCGAAGGAACAACCTAATGATCAGCTTTCTCTTGTGAGTGCAAAGGAGACAGGAATGCATCTCAGTCACCTACTGGAGGAGGAGGAGGAGGACGAAGAGGAAGAAGGAAGGAAAACAGAAGAACATCTAGACAAAACTGAGAAAGGACAAAAAGATGAAGAGAAGGACACGAGTGGAGCTATGGGTCAAGGAGAGGAAAAGAAAGAGGTGCAAAAAGAAAAGAAGGTAGAAGAGTCCAGGTGCCAGTTCACCTCCTTCAGGAATATGATGACTAAAAACTACAGGAAGCGTCCCGGCTGTGAGGACAACTGATGACAGCAGTGACGTCCTCACCGTCAGCAGCTCAGTGTTTCATCGTACGGTCATATGTGAACTGTACTCTTACTCCGCATGCCTTATCACCTGTGTTTGTTCTGTTTCAGCCAGCAGCGATGTTCCAGAGTGCTTCACTTCATACTTCAAGTTTCCTTATTGTAGAATTTTAGTTCCTGTTGTATTTGGTATTGTGAGATAAAGTGTTGAATTCAAAGGTTTTTGAGAAAATAAGAAATGGAAAGTTTTCCCAGTGATAGTAATTACTACCATTAAAAACAAATAAACACACCTTCATCACCAGTTTCACCAACACATTAATGAATGAGACAGGCAGTACACAAAATGTAAAGAGATGTTAAGTAAAATGAAGGGTTTATTATTTGCTACATCTTCCAATTTGAATAAACTGTCCTTTTTTTAATTGAAGAAATGGATCCAAATTACAAATGTTTGGATAAGTCAGTTTTAACCATTGATTTAACACTGTTGCCATCTTCTGGAATAAAACTTGTAAAGTTGTAAACTACTCGTCTAAAATTGTGTGGCTCCTCTGGCTGCTGAAACAGCTCTGACCCAGGGAGACCCGACTCTACGAGACTTCTGAGAGTCCCCTGTGTTACAGATCCTGTAAATCCTGATATTTTATAGGCAGGGCCCTCGTGGATCAGACTCATTCTTCCTGCAGACTAGACTGAACTGCGATCTGGGGATTTTGAAGGTCAAGTTAATACTTTGCACTTAGTCATATTCTGTTACCATCGGGCATTCTCCTGCCTCGATGGGGTACATGTGGGCTGCAGGTAGTTCAACATCGAGCATGAATATCGTGACATGAGAACTTTATGGGTTGATTTTTTCTTATAGGCAGTGTTCTAGCGTATCCTCTCCTAGTCCTAATGTATAGTCCTCAGTGAAGAGGAAAAAACCACGACCAGGTGACCAAACCAGCTTTCTCCATTGGCCCATGGCCCAGTTCTGAGATTCACTGCAGGTAAATCCCTGCTTCCAACACATTCACATAAAGAATTGTTTACCTTTGCCCTTTGACAGGTGGCCTAGTAAAAGACAGTCCGTGTTTAATAGTACATTTATTTCATTTTTTAGTGCCTCCAGTTTTGTGACTGATGGTTGTATTTCTATTTCTAATACAAAACCAACAAATGTAGGGATCTGAGCCATGACCAGTTGTGATAGGAACAAGTCCATTACAATTGATAAAGAAAATGCATTTGTGGGTTGTGCCCATGAAACACAGCCAAACGGCTTATTCTGTTCTTGAATCTTTTGAGCTTCTGGTACTCCAGGTGATGAGAGTCACATGGCTAATTGGGGCCTAATCAGCAGCACTTTTGGGTATGGACTACTGCAGCGGTGTCTTCTCCAAGCATGCTATGTTTGACTGATATGGACGGGCTTGGTCCAAAAGAGCATGTCAGCAACATGTCCACTGAACCTGAACATGTGGGGGACAGTTATTCTCAACGATGAGTCCAGATTCTGCCTACTTCACGTGTTCTGCTTCATTAATGAATTCTCCAATAAGATAAGATAAGATAACCTTTATTAGTCCCACACGTTGTTGTTTGTTTCCCAAGCTATGCATTAGTAGAAAGAGATTGAAATCCTCCAACTAGCCACCTCCACAACACAGCTCAGAGAGGTTAAAAGGTCTTAATATCCAGCCTTATGTGAGTAAAAATGCTTTTCTCTATTTCCTAATAATAAAGCATTTTTGGTCAAATATAAATCAGAATTAGTTTGAGTAGTAGAAATAACTGTTCTAATGTCTGAGTTTGGTGGTGGTGGTGTGTGTGAATCTGAAAGTTTTGTAATTGTTTAACACAGAACTGTAATTATTGGGTTTTGCTGAAAGTTGATTCATTTTGAGTGCAAATAAAAAAATAAATATGTTTAAGTTAAATGTGGGACGACAGCTCTGTCTGTCCTGGTCGTTGTGTCCTTGGGCAAGACACTTCACCTCCCGCCTACTGGTGTTGTCCAGAGGGGCCGATGGGCGATATGGCAGCTTCTGTCAGTCTGCTCCAGCTGTAGCTACACCTGTAGCTGCCTCCACCAGTGTGTGAGTGTGAGAGTGAATGAATAGTGGCATTGTAAAGCGCTTTGAGGGCCCCGGAAAGCGCTATATAAATGCAATCCATTATTATGAACCAGTATAATGTAGTATATAGTAGTAGTATAATAGTGTAGTATAATTGTGATAATGATAGTGACAGGCCTCACTGAGAGCCTGACCTTGGTGTATCCAGGTGTGTGTGTGTGTAGAGCTGGACTGGAGCCACTAACCTCCAAATGTCTGACTTTTAAAATGACTTAATGCAAGAAGTTGCATAAAATAAATACAAATAAATGGTCATTGACAAACACATTCAGTAAAAGGACTAGATGTTACAGTCCCTGACAATGCATTGCTTTTAATTGAGAAAATCTTGGGGGATGGCTGTTATGAGGAAAAGCAGCCCAGAAACCAGCGGCACACATCGTTGTGTGCCTCAACCTTCGGTCTTTTACCCAGGCTAATCTGCCGTTTTCCCTTGGTTAGGTTTAGGGGTTAGAGATCTGATCTAAATTATTAAAATGTGGGACACATCGTCAGTTGTGGACCTTGGATTCATCGGGTGTTTCGGCCATTATCACTAGACACCCTCATCCAAGGAGGCCCTGCCAGGGTTGATCAGGCCCTGGAGTGCGTCAGTGGTTTATGTTAAAATAGTTATTTCTCTTCTTCTTTCTCCTGTTTAGTTTTCTACAGTTTATTCTATCTATTCACTGCAACTGAGAAATACCTACCTCTTTAACATTTATGGAGCCTCATTTCTTCAAAGGGACAGAAAAGGTGACAGAGAGGAGTAAGACAAGTAAGTAAGATAAGAGAGAGCAGAGAGGAGAGTCGGAAGGGGGGGCGACCGATCTGGATTCCCACACCTCCCCGCCAGATCGGGCTGTGCGCTCTACCTCCCCACTGCCTCCCAGAAAAGAGAAGAGCGGAACATTTTCCATTCCTCCTTTTAGTTTCAGTACCATGAGGTTAACTGCACAGTCCCCAGGAGGCGCTGAGACAGCTGTAGCAGTCAACCAGAAAACTAATGTTATGTTTTACCCTTTCAACGCCCCCTGCTGAGACAGGCCCACCACGGGTCCATCAATCCTGGGCACGTGTCTCGCGGTTAGCTGACTGCCTTAGCTGCCCAAGTGATGTCAGCCCTTTTTAGCCATAACCAGTGACTGGTCCTCTCAGCAGTGTTAGCTAGTTCTCTAATTCACAACAGCCCTGATCAATGCTAACAGCTGACCTGACTGGCTACCTC